CTTTTTTTTTTTTTTTTTTTTTTCCCTTGGGCCGTTTCCAGGTTGTCCAGCCAACTGTGGTTTACTTTGCCAGGGATTAGCTGTCTTTTTATTCTTTCTCACTTTGCTGAGTTTGCTCTGTGTCTGTTGTCAAGTTTTCATTCCGACAGAGTTGTATGAAGTTTCGAAGTAAGTAATTTTAAAATTTAAAGCAGAAATTTTCAGAAAACTCCTGGAATTGATTGCAGTTATTTGGGGCAGGGAGGTGAATTGGGATTAGGGTTATTCACTTATTAAAGGCAGCTAAGAAGGTTAGAAAAAAATCATGGTTACCAACCGGACATCGGGATCCCGATCCAGACAGTCTGGTGTCCGGTTCGGAGGGTCCGGTTGGACCCCGATTTCGAAAAATTCAAAAAAGAATTTCGGGGTTCCCAGGCCGTTTAACTGGGCCTGGGGTACCCCGGAAAAATAATGCTGATGGTTTTTGAGAACCGGTACCCCAACCGGACAGGCCCTGAAAGTCCCCTCTGTCTGATAGCATTGGCACACGAGTTCACTGCTTTGCTCTTATTTGGATGGAATCTTGGTGCATTTCAGCTCTCTGCTTGGTGTGTGTGTGTGTGTGTGTGTGTGTGTGTGTGTGTGTTTCCCCGAACAACCAGACACCGACACAGCAAACCGGACTGTTCGGGTCCGGATGTCTGGGTGTCCAGTTAACCAGACGTTCGGTTCGATCCAGACACGGGCCCGGTGTCCGTGTCCGGTTGTGCGGGTCCGGGCCAACCATGAAAAAATCAAAAAATTAATAGAAAATTTATTAACTAATTACAGGCAGCTAAGAAGGTCGGAAATTAGAAAGTAGAATCCGCCAAAATTTGGGATCCACAGAAAATGAAAAAAAAAAAAAAAGGGCACACCGCCCAGCTCAGTTGGTAGAGCACGGGAGTTGCATTCAGGAGGTTGTCAGTTCGATTCCTCGCGGTCCTCATTTGATCCCCCGTGGCCTTCTGCGGCTCTGTTACATGCCCAGTTGGGCAATGTACATATAAACCAAGGATCCGCAATGTGATGAAAAGGACTGAATGGACAATGCAGTGCAAGTGAAATCTCTACAAGCAGTGTACATTCTGATACATACAAAATAGTGCTTTACAGCGCAGTGGAAGACTTAGATACAAGTCCTGACCTGACCGGGACTGACCTCTTTCACGTAGTACAAGATAGCGCAGCAGAATACTAGAATACTAATGACTAACCCAATCAATGTTACTACGCATACCAAACATACATCATTCTCACCACACGGTGTGAAGGGAGCCTGGCACTATACACGGAAGAGGCGCCAGGTCCATTCCATGCACAGACGAAGAGGAGAGGATCAGACGGAGAAGAGGAGGGGAGATATGGGAAAGTCGTCAACACCAAGTCTCATTACAAGTCCCAAATAATCCCTCGTCAAAATGTCTGAAGTCCAATGTCGAGTCTGGATCCAAATGTCACCAAGCTCTCTCTCTCTCTCTCTCTCTCTCTCTCTCTCTCT